CATTTGCCTTTTACTGAGAAGCAAGTAGTCACTCCAACAGGTGTGTTTTAGGAGAAAAATTAGTAGCAAGGTATGGACTCAATTCAAGTCTCTTCCTCTCTCTCTCTGATGAAATTTGAAATATAAGTAGACTACTTCCTTTTTATCTCAAGTTTCCTTCTGTTCTCTGAATTTAAACTGAGAACTTTATATGCCTTCAATTTTTATTTGTTTGTATTTTTTACATAAATGATTGTGCATTTTCTCTTGCTAGCATATAATTTAGTGTCTCATGATGGTATCAATTTTATGAAAAGATATTCCTCTACATATGGCGAAACGAGATTTTTAAACTAGCTATAAATTGTTGATCGTGATTGCTTTTTCATTAGGGTGTGATTTATCCCTTTTTTTTATATATTTTTTTCTCTTTCATCATTTCATCTCTTTCTTCTCTTTCTATCCACTCTATTTATATTTTTTCTTATTTGAAAACAGATACACCAGCACATAATTGTTAAAATCTTGGTGGAATTACTCAACACTCAAATATTAGAACTGTGGGGGATTGTTCATTTGTTTGTTCTTTTGGAGTTGACCCATCTTGACTTGGTATATTAATTGTTTTTCTTTCTCTACCTTGATCTGAGCTTTAATTTTTGTTGGGATTTAGTTTAGTTTACTCTCTCTGTTGATGTGTTGCCATAATAATTTTTTGATAAAATCTTTTCAAGACTATGATTTACAAATGTGTTTATATATACTGTTCAATCATGCTCCATAGGCTACAGGGAAACCAGTCTTCATATAAAGAGTGAGGGTAATATTGATAAATACAAATCCAGTAACTTGCTCACTTTTGTTATTTCATAATTGGAGAGTGAACCAATTATGCAGTTCTTTTTTCTTTTATTTATTTATTTTTAATTTCAAATTAGTTGGATTATGAATCAATGGAGTCGAGTTAAGTTGAGTTCTTGTTTGCCAAAAGTTGAATTCAAAAAATTACACTCTGTTTAGAGTGATTTGGTGAGAAATGAAGAGAGAGAGAGAGAGAAAGAGAGAGAGAGAGGGAACTCTTTTTGTTATGTATGGTTTATAATTTTGGATTTGTTGATTCTATATATATTTGGTTTTATGACTTTAAAATATTCGGCCATACATTGAAGATTTTCATTTTGGATTTATTGATTCTGTGTATATGCCATATTTATATATGGTAATACAAACATTTTATACTAGTAACAATCAAAGTTGTTATTCCTTTTCTATTGATGCAGGGGATGAAGAGTCAGTGTGATGAGAAAATGTCTGATTTTGTCTTTTGTAAGAGAAGAACAGTCTCTACAAAATAGTAAGTTTATTCATATGCTTCTAGTAGTTTCTGAATTAATTTGTGTTTTTATTTTTTCAGGTCAGAAATTTCATCGACAGATGCAAAATATGGTCAAAGAATTCAAACTTAGTTTTTTCAAGTTTTTTTTTTTTCATTTTTTAATATATGTAATCATAGTTGAAAACTTTTTATTAATTCCTTTCTATATACTTTTGAACATTTAATTTTCATATATGAAATATATGACGTTATTCCATTCAATATATGGTTGTGATTCAAAATATAGTATATAGTGTGTATTACATTCTTCAAATGCGCGTACAAAAATAATATTGATTATTTTTCAAATATGTCGATTTTTTTTTTTTTTTATCACAGGTTTTATTACTTAGTAATCACACTTAAAAGATGTGATCTAAATGTTATTAATCACACTTGATGTAATCTAAATGTTTTTAATCACACTTAAAAGATATGGTCTAAATATTTTTAATCACACTTAAAGGATGTGATCTAAATATTTTTAATCACACTTAAAAGATGCAATCTAAATGTTTTTCATCACACTTAAAAGATGTGATCTAAATATTATTAATCACACTTGAAAGATGTGATGAAATCATTTTTTAATGACACTTAAAAAGTGTGATTAAAAATGACCCCTTTTAATCACACTCCCAAAGATCACACTTTAATAAAACTTAAAAGGTGTGATTAAAAATGTACATCACACAAAAAAAGTGTGATCTTTATCTGTATTTGTAGTAGTGGTGGGGCAGCTGTATCTTGAAAATCTTCCAAACAGACTTGCATTGCTAGGTTTACTATGGAATCAGAATTCATAGCTTTAGATAAAGCTAGAGAAGAGGTAGAATGGCTTTGTCATTTCCTTGAAGATATTCCAATGCGGCCAAAACCAATGCCTGCTATTTGCATTCATTGTGATAGTCAATTAGCAATAGGTAGAGCACAAAGTCATAAATATAACGGTAAGTCACGACACATTCGTCTTCGACATAACACCATGAGACAACTACTCTCTAATGGAATTATTTCCATTGAATATGTGAAGTCTAAAGACAACATAGCGGATACACTAACCAAAGGGTTAGCAAGAGAGTTAGTTGAGAATTTATCGAGGGGAATGGGACTTAAGCCTATTAAATAAGAGTTACCATAACAGCAACCCAACCTAGTTGATTGGAGATCCCAAGATCTAGGTTCAACGGGACAACCGAGTTGTGTATGACTCATAAGGATCCACTAGAGTGTCAAACTTCTACCCATTTCTATGATGAAATAGTGATATCTGCAATGTTTTAGGTTAAGTAATACTTTTAATGATTCTTCTATCTAGGAATACCTAGTGGAGTATGATAGGATACTTTTCATAAGAATCACCTATATGAGTGTGAACTGGGCTGGTTCTATGAGATTTGTGAAGGGCTACAATTCTCCAGAGCACTCATGAAAGACCAGGTTGTTCAGGGCTAAAATGAATACAATAGTGAGAACTAAACTGTGTTTGGTGATATACTGTGTGAGTTTTATTGTTTTGGTTTACATAAATGGCTGAACAATTCAACACATCATATTCATTGGTTAGCTAGTAAATCTGATAGTGTCTCACAAGGGAAGGTTCAAAGCCAAAAGCTACTTATCCTTTGCAGAATATTTTCAATTTCTGTACTCTCTGTAATTAGATCATGTTATTACATTTTCTCTCCATCAAATTCTATTCATGTGGGGGATTGTTGGAATTTATGGTTTCATAGGCTTATTTTGGGCCAAATTTGAGCCCAAATTTGAGTGGGTCCCACACGTCTTTTGGGGTGGGTCCAAAGAGGTGACGTGTTCCTTGTCGCATGGCAAGTCATACGGTGAAGATGGTTCGTCAAAATCATTTATGAGTGAATGGAAAGTTGACGTCATTTTTGAGTTCGTAGAATGGACAATTAAAGAAGTAAATGTGGGTTTCTTTGTAATGGTAGTCCCACATTGAAAACTTAAGAGAACTTATGTGTGTATATAAATTATAGGTTGCAACACTTGGGTTGGGCCCCAAGGGGCACCTCATGTTTGTAGAAGGGAGGCGTTATGGTCAAAGTGACCTTTGGCACAAACCACTACACACGCACACATGCTACCATCCGGCTAAGCTGTGCCGGGTGCGGGTGTGGTTGTGGGTCGGGTCAGTTCTAATATTAATTTTTTGGACAAATTGATTTGAATTTTTTCTAGATATTCTTACAGGAAAATTATTTTTTCTAAATGAAATTAATTCCAATTTTGTGCGAAAAATTGAATTTAATTTTATGTCCACTTTTTTAACCTCCTCTCGTCCGAATTAAACTGTTCTAACAGATTGAAAATTTCTAGTATCAGATAGATTCAGTTTTGGTTCAAATAGATTCAAATTGTCATAGTTTGAGTTCTGCATCTATTCAAATTGAATTTTGCACCTGTTCATTCAAATTATATCTGTTCGGATCTGTCCAAAGGTCACTTTCTTGCCTATAAATACTGGATCATTCCAACAGTGTTCTTCATCCAAAAAAAAAATTCAATTGTCTTCCCGATTTTGCTCTCTCTTTGCATTATTCTTCATTTTAGTTTTTAGAGAAATATTTGAGAGCATATAACACAGGTTCTAGTTCACTGAAATAGATTGTTTTTACTGCTAATATAATCTGTGTAGATCATTGTATCTTGAGAGATAGACGCCATTCATCCGTAAGCACCATAGTGGGGTGAATTTGTCTTAAGAACAAAGTGTCACATACTAGACTTGATCTTTTTGTACTTATTCAGTTCGGTAAATAAATTCTGTAAGTAATTTATTTTTATTTGTTTGATTTGGTTTCACATTATTTATTTTACACAGAAGATTGTTCCAACAAAATATGCTCACATAATATTATTTGAAATGAAATGGCTTCTCTCCAATTGAACTTTCAATTGGACTAGATAGTTGAGATTTTTTATCGGTAAGAATCATTAAATAAAGGTTTCTTACCGGTAACAGTCATTAAATGGAAGACTCTTATTGATAAGAATATTTGAAAAATTTTAATTGGGTCATACTTTTATAAACTCTTACTTATAAGAAACCTCCGTATAATGATTCCTACCAATAAGAAACCTCAACTATTTGGTTCAGTTGAAAGTTCAACTGAAGAGAAGCCAAATCCTATTTGAAATTTGTTAATTGCAAATTTTTCTTTGCGCTTCTTTCGATTTTCCTTCCTACGCAAAGCTGTGATCCCTAACTTTCCCATAGTCCCATTCTTATTCAAAGGAACATATCCCTCATTTGCCGTCTTTAGAAAAGAAGACTTGGCCATGCCTCCAAGAACACCACTACTTTTCCCAAGACATACTTATAAAGGCAAATTATTCCTATGTTGCTATTTATTTAACCAATTGAAACATTTTTTTCCCTTAATCATTCTAACAAGTAATAAAAGTTCTCTTTCTATTCATTTCTTTCGTTTTCTCTCAAATTTCTCAATCTACATGCGCCTTTAAGTAATTACAGATGTAAGATCTAGGACAAACAATGGTTAAATATGCGAAGATAATATCACTTCAAATTTGTCAATTATTTGGATATCAACTTGTAAGATAAGTGTGAAGGAAAACATCTCAAAATTCTATAGAACTTTAAGAAATTTTTATCAAAATGTTCTCTGAATCAATGGGAAGGAAAACATCTAATATGCAAAATGAGTTCTAAACATCTGCTATGATTTGAACAATCGTTTTTCCAATGTTATCACCGCTAAAAAGTGCCATAAAAGTGGTTGGAATGCTTTCCACGCCATGTGAAATGTCCTCGAGCACCTTCATTTTCCCATTGCGAAGGTGATCAGCAGTTGTTGAGAGGAAATCTGCATAAACATTCATCTGATCGGCGGCTAAGAAGCCTTGGATAGCGATTCTCTTATAAATAACATCAAGCATGTCTGGTGCAGCTCGTTTTGCGACGTCTGTGTACTCGGAGATTACCCCACAAACTGCAACTCTACCAAATGTGTTCATGTTGAAAACTGCAGCTTCAAGCATATCACCTCCCACATTGTCAAAATATATGTCAATGCCATCAGGGAAGTACCTGTTAAATAAATAAATGTAGTGTATAATAGCTTGAATTTTTTATGGACAGAAGCTATTATTGTTTATGGGGAACTTTGGCCACATGTTCATTTTTAAACTTTTAGACCAATATGTCCAAGTTTTAGTCTGTTGGAGTTAAAATAATATCTATTTTTCTAAAAAGACACATTGTCCAAATCCTACCTATTTGTCTATCCAAATGTCATTAATTTGTTCATCTATTTATCCAAATGTCACAGACAGACACACACACACACACACACACACTCACTCACTCACTCACTCACTCACTCACATATATATATATATATGTTGGAAGTGCTTCAAAATTTCCTTCTTGTTCCTTGTCCCACATTGATTTCTTATTAGCTTTCTTACACCTTTTATATGTAGACCTTTGTTATAGGGTAAGGGCCAAGGATGTGGGGGAGCCTATGTAAGCTTTGGGCGATATGTGTGAAGTTCATATATATATATATATACACGCACTCGTGTTGGATTTAGACTTAGGCTGGGTGTACGTGTGAGCTAATACAATATATATATGCTTCTTTTTTTCCTCTCATTGATTTTTTGTAAGATTCATTTCCTTTTGTAATTAACCGTAACTAAGCAAATGACTAGTCATTTCATAATTCAAGGGATTTTGACTGATTCATAATTCAAGGAATTTGTTTGATCAAATCCTTGATTTATTCTTACCTTACTTGCAAACTTGGAATTATATATATACATATTCCTAGTAGTTTAATCTACAGAAAAAGTTCTCTTTTCTTCTCTATTTTTCCCTCACAGTTTCTTGGTTTCTTTGGGCTATTTCTTAGACGAGTTCAAGTCTTGCTTTGTGAGTGCATGCCATCAAGACTTGCCATTGTATCTTGCAGAACAACCGGCAGCAGCCATTTGCACCAAGTGGGGTGAAATCATTTCTTAAGGACAACGGATTGACTTTCATACCTCGATTCCATTCTTTCTCTATTATTTATTCTACTTTTATCTTCTACTATCTATTTCAGTTTGTTAATCAAGCAGAGTTTTCATATATTTTTCTAACAATATATACATGTGTCACCTATCTATTCATTTATTTGTTCACCTTACTACCACTAGCCACTGCCATCGGTAGTGATGATGACTTTTCCGACACATTCTTATCACCAAAAAAGATTAATTATTGAACCTAATGTCATATGTCCCCATAAACCCAAAAATATAGACAATTTGTTTGGAAAAAATTTCATAAGAATAACCTACTCATTCACAAGGATCTTGCTAACAGCATAATATGATACGAGAGACTATAAGTAAGCATAATTTCACCTTATTTTATTCTATTATATTATTATTAATATATATATATATATATATTTGGAGAAATTACTATAAATTATTTTGGGGACAAGTATTTCGAGATTATTAATTGTAAATTTAAAATTAATTTAATTTATTAACCGTCCATAAATTGGAGCGCTAGAATACCTTTATGTCTAAACATATAATTTAGGATTGACCAAAATTTATAGTCCAGATCATGCCCTATTTCATCATCGTCATCAGCATTATCATAAATAATTTTAAATATAAAATAAAATAAAATTATAAAATAGTGTTATTATAGTTCAAAAGATAGATTCACTTTTGAAACTTACGAAAATGGTACATATCACTAAAAGTGATGCTCTAAAGCACCACTAATGAGTTGGCACACATTTAAAATAAATAAATAAATAAAACAAGGCACAACAACAATGTGGCATTAGTGCAACCACTGAAATACACAACACACAACATGGGCAAAATAGTTTTTTTTTTTTGTTTTTGAAATGAACTCTTGGGGGCCTTTGCTAATTCCTTCCTCCAAGACCTATGCTAATATGAAAGGACTACCAATCCCAATCTCCACTTTGCAAACAAACGTAATTTTTTTGTTGTCCTTGCTCATCATGAATCCAATCTCCTTTATCTCCCAAAACAAACAGGGCTGGTTCACTAGTCTCGACCTCAACATAAAAGAGGCAAAGTGTAATTTACCAAAAAATAAAAAATAAAAATAATAAAAAACTAAAATAAAAAAAATGTACTAAGTGTCAAACCTTTTGAGAGTTGACTTGAGATCTGTTTCTTCTTTGTAGTTGAATGCATCATCAAAACCAAGCTTCTCTTTAAGCAATTCCACCTATAATCCAAGTTATCACACACTCATAATTCTAGGAATTGAAGTTATTCAGAACTCAATTTAATGACAATAAGACTCCGTTTGTTTATGTCAAAAATACTTTTTGTAAAATAATTTTTGCATTTTCTTAACATTTGATTTAACAAAAAATAAAAGTCATCTAAAAATATTTTATATGATCAACAAAAAATGAGGTAAATTTGTGAAAAATATTTTTCAAACCTAATGAGATATGTATCACACAACCATCACCCGACATTATTGTCGTCATGATCATCACCACCACCATGACCATTCTACTCACACCATCACCACCACCCATACCTAGGGATGTCCACGGGGCAAGTTTGGGGTCAGTTTGAAGTCCTCCACTCCAGTCCTGTATCATATTGGGGCGGAGCAAATCGGGTTGGTAGTGGGGGTGGGGCAAGAGTAGTGTGGGTTAATTTTATTACTTAAGAAATAAAAATTATAAATAATACACATATTATGGATAGTAATTTATAATTAACAAAATATAATATGAGAAATAAATGACTAAAGATGAATACTAAGTGTAATAGTTTAGGTTTAAATTTTATTATATTAGAAAAAATTAAATAATATATATACACATAAATATATTTAGCAAGAGTTTGTCTTCTCTCAAGTTGTCATCTTAACTTGAGAGAGTGTTTAGACTTAGTAGACCCATTTTAAAATCGATTTTGATAATCCGAATTGTTCACTTTTTAGAACTTGTTGAGTAGAATATTCATGCAAAAAATCAAGATGATTGGATATCAGTAGCTATATGTTTGAATTATATTTGTTTTAAAAAAATAGACTACATATATAATTTCAAGAATAGCCATTCATTTTTTGTAATATAAATTTGATTCAAACATATAGCTACCAATATCTGATGACCTTGATTTCTTACATTAATGTTCTACTCAATGAGTCCCAAATAATGAACGGTTTGGATTATTGAAATCGGTCCTAAAATAGACCTATCAAACCTAAATGTTCTCTCAAGTTGAGATGACCAACATGAGAGAAACCCAAACTACCAATAAGTTTTAACGGTTGGACTTAATTTCCATCAAATTCTATTGAAAATAAGTCCTGATAAAATCGTCGATAAAAATAATTATTAGTGACGATTTTTTACATATGTCGCTAAAAATTGACAATTACTGACTTTTTTGTCACAATTTTATAAATTGTTGCTAAAACTTACAATTAGTAACGTTTTTCTGTGACAAATTTTTCAATCTATTGCTAAAAGTTGAAAATTAGTGACTTTTTGTGATGAGTTTTTTAAACTGTCGCTAAAATTTATAATTAGTAACATTTTTTGTGACAAAATTTTAAATTTGTTGCTGAAAATTAACAATTAGTGTCATTTTTTAATAGTATTTGATGAAAAATGCCATTAATTATCATAGAACCTATTGGACAATAAGTTCATCTTTTAAGACTTACACATAAGTCCCCGTTTAGTAAATATATACGAGGTAGGGGCAAGTTAAGATGTAACAGATAAAGAAAAACTCATCTTCGTCCCACTCGGGGGAAGAACTCGGATTTTTAATTAAGGAAAGCCAAAATATGTCTTCTCTTTCAGATTTTTTTTTGATATATATATTTTTATACTAGCACAATTTTAAAAGCCTAATTGATGTATTGATTTTATCGCATTTTAGTACTTTTGTTTTGATTATTTTTTCTTGCATTTGAAACTTATAATATTTATAGTGTTAAATTATTGTATTCATGTCCTATTAAGAAATATCATTATTTTGGCCAATTTACCCTTTTGTGATTTGACACTAGAGTACTTTACCCCCTTATCGTTAAAAAATAGCCAGAGAAGCCTCATATAATTTTGAACTAAAATGCAACTCTAACACCATTAACAGTAAATAGAAAATGACATTTACACCCTTTACTATCTTCTCTTGCTTTTCTTTGGTGTGAACTCTCACCATTGCTACAACTCACCAGATGCAATTACAATTATGTATAGATGTATACACTTGAATCTAACAACGATCAGAAAGTTTGTTCCAAATTAATTTCAAATTAAATCACATAATTCCAAATTAAATTTATTCAACCATTAGAAACTTACCACCAACAATCACCTTAATTTCAAATCAAATTTTATTGAAGCAGTGAAGTATGTATACTGCATGTGCAATGACCATGAAAGAATATATAAAAAGAGGGGAATAGATAAGTTGGCAGGGAGAGAAGAAATCTGAGATAGAATTCTGGCCATGGAGCTACAGTAGTGACATTGACGACATTCCGATGGTGCTAAATTTTGAATTTTGGTTGAAAATATGATTATATATATGTTTTATATATATAAGAAAATTTAGGTTTAGATATGTTTATATATATATAGAGATTTGGGCATTACAAATAGTATGAATTAAAAAAGGGGCAGCAAAAACCTCATCTTTAGTTTAGATCTGGGCATTGAAGAGGTGGTGGTGATGATGATGGGGTGATTGGTGTGTAGGGATGGCAATTTGAACCCGTCTCGATAAATAGGGTTTTTCCCAAAAATTATTCCCCATAAGGCCGGGGCTGGTGTTAAAAAACACATCCCCGATGATTTTCGGGCCGGGGACAATGATACCTTTCCCAGCCCCGGACCCGTCCCGACCCCAGCCCCGTCCCCGTTTACCCCGATAGGAAATTACAGTTATAACCCTCCCTATATCTATACATACATACATATATATATATATATATAATATGTGTGTTTAGTGTGTTTAGAATATCAAAATATATAATATAATATATGTGTGTTTGGTGAGTTTATCCATTCAGAATTTCAGATTCTCAACTCTCTCTGTCTCTGTCTCTGTCTCTCTCTCTCGTTCTTCTCCCCTCCCTCTAACTCTGTGAAACTGTGTCTCGCTCTCTCTCTTTCTGTCTCTCTCATCCTTCCACTGTTACCGACACCGACACCACAACTTCTCTCTCCCTCTCTCTTTCTCACACTTTGTCTCTGCTGCCTCGTGATCTCTACGATGGCTTCGTCTCTAGATCTAGAAGATCTGAAGATTGTCTCCGGTGTCCTTCCACCGTCACCGACACTAACACCACCTCTCTCTCTCTCTCTCTCTCTCTCTCTCTCTTTCTCTCACTGTTCTCTCTCTTTCTCTTTCTCTCACTGTTCTCTCTCTTTCTTTCACTCACTCTCTGTATGTGTGTTCTATTTTCAGATTGAACCAGATCATGAAGAGCTTGACAACTTGAGCAAACAAAGGCAAGATGAAAACGATCTCCGATCTGGGGGGCAAATCTGAGATAACGGTGGCGACGGCGTCTGATTTGTGTATGTGATTGGATTAGATCTGATCTGTGTTATATTTTCAGCTCTAAATTTTTTTTTGGTTAGGGTTTTCTTAGATCTCTGTGTGTGTAATGAACAAACATACTAAATTGTTAAGTTGTTGATGATTGTTGAGCTATCTAATTTTTTTTGTTGTTAAATTGTTGATGATTGAGGCTTTTTTTGGGGGTTTTTTAGATCTAAATTTTCAGAGTTGAGCTTGTTGTGGTTGATGATTGTCGGGGATTTTTCGGGGTCGGGAAAGCCTGATCCTCGTTGGGGGCGGGGGTGGGGGGCGATGGGTTCCCCACCGGGGATCGGGGCGGGGACGGGGATATTTTGATCTTCGGGGATCAGGGACGGGGAGTGCAATTCCCGCCCCCGCCTCGGCCCGTTGCCATTCCTATTGGTGAGTTAAAATTGGGGTTTGGAAATGGGAAGAAAAGGTATAAAGGGTAAATTTGTCTATTATGTAATTGAACTTTGACTTTATCATTTTTTTTTCCTATCCCACTTTCAAAATCAACGCATGCTGGGAGGTTAAGTGCAAAATGGTTAAAATTACATGGGACCTTTTTGATTATTTTTGAACAATAGGGGAGCAAAGTGCTTTAGCATCAAATCGTAAGAGGATAAATTGAATTTTATCCTATTATTTTAAAAAAAATGTTAATTATAATTGATATTAACAAAATATTTGACTACAAAGCGAATGTTTATTATAAGTCATTGCTCTCACTTAAAATGTGAGTGGTGAATGACGATGATGTTTTAATAAAAAGCATAAGAATATGCAGAAAGTGAGTAAAATTGAATAATTCAGATATAGAACAATACCAAGAAAAATAATGTTTGAATCTCCACCACACAAGAATAAAATCTAGGTCACATATTATTTTTTTCTTGGTACTATACTGTATCTGAATTCTTAATCTCTAACATTACTTTTTGGTTATATTCAATTACATTACTCTTTGGTTATATTGAATTATAAAAAGCACTTGAAAAATATTGGGATAAGTAAAAAAAATGGAGGAGTTTTCAAAAGACAACAAATTTTTTTTTTATTCAGATTAGGATCAAATCAAATTTATTTAGAATTTAAAAATAATATACTAATTATATTGTAAATACTTAAGATTATATAGGGTATAAGTAAAATTTTATATATTTCGAGAGGGGCCAGGGCCAGGCCCGGTTGCGGTCCCTTAACAGTTTCACCTCCTGGACCCATTTCCTTATCGGAGTGAAAAAGATTGGAGAGAAATGGAGCGGGTTATACCAGAGGAGTTGGATGGAGAAAAATAACCTTTCATACCCACGCTATCATTTTCAAAGAACCAAAAATTAAAAAAATATTAGGCAAATTACACTAGTAGGAGTGTAAAAATGGTTTGCGGCTCGTGGGCGGCCCAAAACCAGCCAATGACCCTGTGTGGGTCCGACCCGTTTAGGCCCGGGCCCAAGCCCAACCCAAGCCCCAAGGCGTAGGCCTGGGCCATCATTTTGAAGCCTGGCCCATCGGCACACTTAAGGCCTACTCAAGGCCCGGCCTGCCCCCGCCCCTGCCCGAGGCCTAATGTCTTTTTTAGTTGAAAATAATAAACTTTTGGTAGAAAAAATTTAAAAAAAAAACAAAAAAAAAATGATCAGGCCTGCCCAGGCCCACCGGGTCGGCCTATTGGTGGGTCAAAGGCCCGAATATCCCCGGGCTTAGGCTTGGACCTAATTTTTTGGCCCGTGGGTTGGCCCGGCCAGGCCCGAATTTTGGCGGAAGCACGCGAGGCCCGACATGGGCTGTGCCGGGTCGGGCTAGATTTACACCCCTATATACTGGTAGTATTTATATTTTGGCCCTTGTGTCATTCTAATCCCTGTAATTTAAATTGATTTGATTTTAACCTTAAATTTATGAATTTATTTCAATCTAGTCCAATTGATTGCAATTGTTAATGTTTTTTGATAATAAAAAAAAAGTGCGCACATAAATGGTATACGTTATGTTTTTATAGGTATTGTAAACTTGTTCAATTCAATAACTATTTTTGTTCAAAAAATCCTAATTGGCGTTATTAATTTGACCAAATTAATATAAAATCTAAAATTAACAGTGAAAATCAAGTTAATTAAAATTATAAAGACAAAAATAACATAAGAAGCAAAATACAGGACCTTTGATATAATTCACTAAAAAAAATAAAATTGGCGGAAACAATACGGTAGAAAGGCAAACCTTTTGTTTGGTTCCAGCACAGCCGACAACATAGCATCCAAACAACTTTGCATACTGACCAACCAAATTTCCGACAGAACCAGAAGCTGCAGAGACAAACACTTTCTCTCCTTTCTTCGGCCTACATACTTGGAAAAACCCTCCATACGCTGTAAGCCCACTAAAACCTACAACACACCAAAACACTTTTTAATTATATCATAAATTACAAAAATCAAAATATAAGTTATATCAATGCTACTCAAAGGAAAGAGATTGGGTATTTTGGAACTTTACAAAAATAATATAATAAAATTAACAAGTTGTCAATCAAAATGTAATAATAAAGCATGCATATTTATAATTTTTTTTTAAAAAAATGCATATTTTAAAGACCAAGGTTGTATTTGAACTTTGTTTTGATATAAAATTTTAAAACGCTTTAGGTTTCTCATTAATGAGTTTGAGTGTGAGAATTATTTAAACTCATTTTTTAATTTGGGAACCAAATTGAGAAGATTAAAAAATTAGAAACAATAACAAAGCACATACTCTTATGTACCATTAAGTGTAGTTAATCCGAATATGAACCATGTTTGTGCATTTACATCATTGATCTTTAGACCTAATTCAGGTGCTCAATAAAATGAGTAATGTTAGAGACCCCAAATGTTTTACCAAATCTGTCACATGAGTGTGGGACCCATACACATGTGGGTTTGTGTGGGTCCTACACCTATGTGAGAGATTTAGTAAAACATTTGGTAGATTATTTGGGGTCCTTAGCATTTTCCCAATAAAATAAGAAAGTCTAAGTACATAAAGAATCAAACACATAATAAACATAAATATCTCACAAATTCACAAATGTCTGACAAACAGAAAGTATAGTGATCCCAGGCTTACCCTTGTTGTACAGTGATCCGGACATGTGTCCGTGGATGTTGGTAGTTGTTTATTTTCTAGTTTGCATCCTCTTTACTTTGTATATTGAGTTATAAGATGCGTTGGGCAGGTTTGTTTCAGGTTGGTTGCGTTTGGGAGCCTAGTGTTGCTATATATATATATATATATATATATTGTGGGTGTTGATTTCCGACTACACAACTAAACAGAGAACTTAGCTGGAGAGTACGCTACAGAATAGATTAAGCCAACCACCTGCCAACAAAAAGATAAGAATACCTCGATGGCTCATTCACCCGGGATACTCCGACGATCAAGTCAGTCAAACAATCTCTCAAAGATATCGAACAACTACTAAACTCACAGAATAAAGTGTACCTTAGACCCATAAGGGTGCCTCACTTTTATAGCCAGCAATGCCCTAGTCCCCTAGAAATATCACTTCATAGGACTCAAGCACAATGCTCACCTCGGACTCTCAGCTAGATAGGGATAAACACCTTGAGAGCCTTATCCTTACCTAGACTAAGTGTCCTCTCTTACCTAGAACTCTTGTCCCCTATCCAAATATCTCAGATTCTAGCATTACTGCATCGAACCTTGGCAATGCCGTAATCACCTTGGCAAGCATGACCCGCCCACGTGGCACCTTGGCCGACATCTCGAAGGCACCTTGGCCATGTGGCATCATTCTCAAAATACTTCCTTGCAACTACCTCCTAGGTTCTATTACCTCGGCAACCTGAAGTGATGGAACCTATATCGTCTGATTTCTAATCACGTCGGCCATATAAATGTACCTCTCTGATTGAAATCATGACTCGTCAGTTTCAGGTAACCAGGACTCAGATGTCCACTTCATCATGAATGAAGAGCCAAGTTCTTTCAACATCTCAACCGAGATCGCTTCGCTAGCTGAGGTCATTACCTCACTAGTTCAAGAATTTCAAGAGCATCCTCTGCGTGTGAGTTGTTACGCTCCATTACCCAAACCGTGTCATCCACGTGTCACCACCCACTTCGCCCTAGGTGGTTACATCAATTTTTGCCACCTTTTATCATTTTAACAAAGCTCTCTCCTCTCGCCTCTGTCTTTTCACTTTTCTTTTTCAACTCTCTCTTGCCCCAGATTCACTCTCTCTAAAACTCGCAAAACACCATCTCCAAACTACGAAGCTTTCTGCAACAGCTCCCTCATCATCTCTAGCGAGCTTTCAATGGTCGTGCTCCATTCAACAGAGTCGTTTGACCCCGGTGAACTTCTTCCCAGCTTCTATTCCTTCGGTTTTATTCTGTAAGTCTCTGAATCCCTTTCATTTTTGCATTTTCTTTTACTGTTCACGATTGTATCTCTTTTTGGATCATTGTACATTGATTTACACACTGCATTTGCAATTGTATTGCCTTCAAATCTGTATCCTCTGTTCTTTGTGTTTGTGCTCTAGTTTTGTTTATACTTTTTGCACACTGCTCTACACTCAATTACTTAGATGTTAAGAATTGGTGTTTACAAATCTGTCAATGCCTCTAATTGTGTTTCTGTGTCTTTGAATCACTTGTTCATACTTTGAACATCTTCTTGAATACATGCCACTGCACTAACCATTACTGTGCCTTTCTTTACATTGTTTCGATTTTGAATCTCGTTTTCTCTATTTGTCCTGCTTGCTTCCAGATTCTTGTTCATTTTATTGGTTCTTGTGCAATCATAGATTTAGGATTGAGATTTGTTAGAAACCAGTCACTTAGGAAAGTTAAAACAAATTTTGATTCAAAACCCTTCCTAGATCTCTAGAACCCCTGCCCCAGTGCTTACTAGGATCTCGTTGAGGTACTGAGAACCTTCCCCAACATAAACCATTACCATAATCCATTAAACTGAGGTCATGGGAATGTTTAAGTGGGGGGTAGATTCACCTAGTAAATTAGAATAGTTCTGCCAAGAGTTTAACATTTCAGCCGACGTCCACCTTAGGCTGCCTGGTAAAGAGGACTTCATGATGCTCGGAGAGACCTATATGCCCTTCCCTATGGTGCCCATAATCGAGGGTGAGGTTAAATTCCCCTTTGACATCCTCTTCTGAGAAGTTTTTCACTTCTACAAACTTAAGCCCATGCAATTAGCCATTAATACGTTTAGGGTTATCAATAGCATAGTCGAGCTGTCTTGTCGAGAAAACGAAAGGATTACTCTCTCCGACGTCCAATACTACTACACTACGTATGGCCTCAAATCCTCTAGTGGCTACACTTATTACCTCAAACCCAGATCCACTGTATACAAACTAATAGCCGATCTCCAAGACTCCAACAAAGGTGCTGGTGAAGACTATCTCATTATCTCAAGCAACTGGGAGTTTGCGCCAGACGATGACCTTCATTTCTACCCCTTGTGCCGTGGAGTCTTTAGGGAAGATGAGGGTAAGAACTTAGTCTTCCCATAGTCCCATATTCTTAATATTCATGCATATATGTCTTTTTGGTTCTAATGTTTTCTTTCATTTTTGTAGCTCTTCCTCAGCTGAGCAAATCTTTTTGAAAGTCTTACGTCCCGAGCCGAGATCTCAAACAGCTCTTGAACTTGCCTATTGAAGATTACAAGGCCCCAATCCTCCTAAACTACGTGCCCACTTACTGCTCTCCTCTCATCGACGTTGCAAGGAACAGAACACCACCATCCTCTTTAACTTAACCATCAGTCTCTTAACCAAAGCCAGACCAGGCATCCATAGCTAATCTTGTAGAGAAACCTTTCACCTTTGCTCCAGCCTAACTTATTCCCCCTCGCAACGTTAATGTCGTCGCCGACCTCCTAACGCTCCTGTTAGTAAAACATGCAGTCGCACTAACGTTTAATCCATCTAATCCTCCACTAGCCCTTCCTGCTTTCAATCTTAGCCTAGGGGCAACCATCGCTGTAATCGCAGAAGAGATGGGATGAAAATCGGCAATCACTGAGGACTTATTGGCTAGTTTGCCCAACGTTGTGTCCTTGCAATCTATGCTATCTCCCCAGCCTAAGCCAAAGCAAAAGAAGGTGAAAAAGGCTAAGGCCAAGGCCAAAGTCACCAAAATCCTCTCTGATTCTGAAAATGATCCAGAGGATTCTCTTCTAATATCCAAACTAGCCAATGCCGAGAAAAAGCCAGGTGAGGTTGAGTCATCTGATGCCCCTTCGCCGAACAAGCCGAGATCTGAAGGTCCAGAGGGTAGGAGTAGTTTCCATCCCAAGGAGAGCTAGGCTCCATAGGTTCTTGTTGGAGACCAACCTGTCAAAGTCGACGGCAACGCTATTGAGAACCTCGAAGTCTACGCCGCTCTGTCTACGGTCGTTTTCCTCTATGCCCACATAAATCAAATCACCGACTTCAACTAGTACAGAAAATTTGCCACGATGATGCGACACTTGGTCTTGGTAAGTTTCTTAACTTTTCTTTTTTTTTTTTTACAATTTTCCATTTCAGTTTTTTACACTTATAAAAAAATTTCTAACTTGCTTCTTTTCTTGCAGGCCATCTAGCATGCGCATTCACACGCGATTAAGGCTGAGTTGATGAAGAATGATCTAAGCAAAAAGACCAAGGAAGTTGTAGGCTTCCTTTTTTCACTCAATAAGGCCAAGACAAAGATCAAGGGCTTGATGGAAAAGGCCAATGCAACCAAGGCTGTCCAAAACAAGGCAGAGGCCAAAGCCGAGGCTGTTGAGGTTGTTGCTAAGGTGATGAAGGCCGAGGCCCAGACTGCAGAGGTTAAGGTAGTAGAAGCCAAGACTAGGCTGTAGGCGGCTCTTGCCACCAAAGAGGCCGAGCTTAAAGAGGCCTATGAGAAGGCATATGTGGAGGGGTAGGCCAATGTTCAGGACTAGTACAAGAAACAACTCAATCTGGCCTACAACAAAGGCTATTACCTCAGTTGGATGATGGCTCTTAATGAGCTGTCCATCCTCGAGGACTCGCCTCTCCATGATATCAGCCAACTCAACATTCTCTTTCCTCTCTCTCCCAACCGATCCGAGGACAAGACTGAAGAAGAAGAGGTCGATGGTGAAGAAGAGGGTGAGGTCGAGGTTGCTGCTCGACTCTGAATGATCAGATCTTGGATGGAGATGAGGTTTCCAAGAGTGCCTCTCCCAAAAAGGCTACTTTTGATGTCGAGGTCTTTGCGGCCGAGAAGAGCTTGGACCAAACTCATCTGGAGATCGACGCTGAGATTGCGACCAATAAGTCTGCTTAGCTATCTGCCGAGACCGAAGCAATGCCAATTGCCGAAGTGGAACAGCCTG